CGTTTGAAGCTGTGTACATGGACTCTGTTATGGTATTTGTTATTCTATTTACTTTTTTATTTGGAAGAATATGCACAAAGTAGATATACCCGTGCCATACTCATTCTATGAGTGTACATCTAGGAAACTGAATGAGCCATGTACATAAACAAATCTCTTTTAGTGCTGTCCACAAAGTAGAAAATAGCTGGCCTCCAAGCTAACCTACTGTTTAGTGTCCCTTAATTTGGTTGTAGTTGTAAACACATGACTTCTTTTTTTGGTCTCGCCTTCTCTGTCTTCACATGTGGGTTGGCATTGCTTGAATAGTCAAGTAGAACTTAGTATGAGGATGGTTGTCTTTCTTGATTCCAGAATATACTATGTGCTAGAGATGGTATGTCTTCCACTCTGGGCACAACTACTTGGCAGTTCTCTTAGCTCCACTGTCTACACCATCACGACAAGTCTTCTAGCTGCAGATTGTATCCACTGTAAGCATTTAGGAGAAGTACTTGCCGAAAATGCCAAAATCTAGTGACAACCTGGTGTTCTTGAAACTGCGTATGCACATATTCTCTGCTGCGCTCTACTGTTATTTTAGGGAATAGACCTTTTCCAATATTGTCTGTTAAATACATTGGCGGCTTGAATCTTCACAGATTAGGAGAGTAAAGAATGACCTCAGAACAAGTACTAAGTATTAGGGACGAAGAAGCCTCTCTCTCTATCCCATTTTTCCTAGAGGGATAAGGAAAAAATGCAAGTTATGGTTAGCAATAAAACCGAAGATACTGGTTTAGGTGAAAATACATGAGTATACATTTTCTGCACTAAGGAATGGTTGACTATATATTACTTGTGGGTGAAACAACAAAATGAGTCCCTGGCGCAAACTATGGTTGCTTTTTAAAAAAAAAATGTAGTTGGGATGATTTGAGGCTTGTTCTTGCTTTGACAAAATAAAAAATATCTCGGAATACGAATGCTACAACTGCAGAAATGGATGATTAGAAGTTCATAAATGCATCTATACTTTGCATGACTAAATGAAGAGGATAGTTGACAGAACGAAACCAAATGACTTATTTCACTACATGCTTTAAACCACTCAATATTAAATATTAAAATGGAAAGTTTGGAATTCTCAAACTTTTCAATCAAAATGGGTTTATCCTCTTTATTAATCATCCACAGTATGTATGCACTCAAGTAAATTTCAGCTTTTGATTACTAATTTCTTGTTATATGCATTTTTGGCATTATACTGTAAGTCAATCTATTGGTAAGCAAGCTTAGCATCTTAACTTCTGAAACAAGGTATCATGCTTTAATGGCAGTTATAATCATTATGGGGATTAGGGTTATTTTTTAAAGGAGCAATTTAGTTGCGTTCCAGAGGTTTTATATCTTATTATATCAAAATCCGATACTTGGTCAACCGATTAGGCTTACTGATGGTTGTTTGTTGTTAACTCGATTGCAGGAATTCAACAAGGTATTCGAAGATCGAACAGATGTTCAGGAGTTATAGAGAACTCGAGAAGTCCAGTTATGGAATTGTAAAGAAGTGTAAAGAGAGAGAGAGAGAGAGAGAGAGTTAGAGAGAAATGTAATAATTCTGATTATGATTTGTAACTATGAATTACAATGCTATATAAGAATTGAGAGTTGAGTACTGTTTATTACAACTGAAGGAATCTTTCTCTAACTGCTTTCTCTAACTACCTAACTAACTTCAGCTAACCCCTAACTAACTTTTAACTACCAAGCTGACGTGACGTTGAACTGGATTGTTATTGAGCTTATTGTGTATTTTGTATATCAATACTCCCTCTTGCAGAAGATCCTTGACCACAAGGATCAAAGTGAGGGAACCTAATCTTCAAGGCATTAAAGAACTCCCACGTAGCACTATCAACTGGCAGCCTTGCCCATTTAACCAAAACATGAGCAACAACCTTATTTCCCTTCTTTATCATCCTTCTCTGCATAATAGATTATGGCTCAGAGCAATGAGGACTAGCAATGTCATTGGTAGGGGGTAAGTAACTTGTGTAGGTAACTCATAGCATTTTTTTAGGAGAGAAACATGCACAGTAGGGTGTATTTTAACTGATTGTGGGAATAAGAGGGTGTATGCCACATGGCCTACTTTCTTAGCAATCTAGAAGGGTCCATAATATTTGGAAGCCAATTTGTGGAAAGGTTGTGATGTAATGGTCACTTTTGTGTAAGGTTGAGCCTTGAAGTATACCCAATCTCCCACTTCAAAATTCCTGTCACTTCTATGATTGTCAGCTTGTTGTTTCATCCTGAGTTGAGCTCTCAATAGGTGATGCTACAATAATTGGAGCTTCATCTCCCTATTAAGGAAGGTGTTATCAACCTCAGTGGAAGCTGATTCTCCTGGTAAATAGGGCAAGTGAAGTGGTGGTGGCCTGCCATAAAGTGCCTCATAAGGTGTAGTTCTTATGGCAGTGTGGAAGGAAGTGTTATGCCAATACTCAGCCATGTGAAAATAGGAATACCAATCTGTGGCTTCTTCAGAGCAGAAACATCTTAGATATGTCTCTAAGCACCTATTTAGGAGCTCAGTTTGGCCATCTGATTGAGGATGATAAGTTGTTGGATTGTTTAATTGAACTCCCTGAATTGCAAATAACTCCTGCAAAAATGTGCTTAAAAATACTACATCTCTGTCACTCACTATGGAATGTGGTAGTCCATGTAGTTTGTATATGACCTCCATGAATACCTTAGCCACAGACTGAGCAGTATAGGGATGTTTCAAAGGGCTAAAATGACCATATTTACTCAATCTATCCACTATGACTAAGATGACTTCATATCCATGGGATTTATGAAGGCCATATATGAAATCCATACTGATTTGAGACCAAACTACCTCAGGAATAGGGAGTGGTTGCAAAAGGCCAGGGTAGGCTGCCAAATCAGCTTTATTTCTCTGGCAAATATCACACCCTTGAACAAAGAGCTTGACATCTTCTTTGATCCCCTTCCAGTAGAATAATGACAGAATCCTCTTAAGTGTTGCTTCTATGCCACAGTGACCACCTTGAGGGGTAGAATGTCATAATGATATAATATTCCGTCTAAGCCGAGGGTTCTTTCCAATTACTAGCTTCCCCTTCTTTCTCAACTGATTGTGAGTCCATGAAAATTGATTGTGACTAGCTGGATTGGTCTGCAATTGTCCAATGAGGGTCTTCAAATCATCATCTGTATTCCAGCTGTCAAAGATAGCCTGCAGCAGCTCTGAACTAGTCGTGGAGATTACTAAAGAGAATAACTCAGCTCCAGGTATCATAGATAGGGCATCTGTTACTTTATTTTCCACCCCTCTTGTATTCAATAACATTATCAAAAGGCATCAACTTTGTTAGCCACATAAGCTGAAAATTTGTGTGTAGTTTTTGCTCCATTAGGAACTTAAAGGCCTTCTAATCAGTTCTTATAATAAATTTCTGACCAAGTAGGTATTGGGACCATTTTGTGACAGCATAAACAATAGCTAAAAGTTCTCTATCATAAATTGAGAGGGCAGCATGTCTAGGAGAGAGTGCTTTGCTGATAAAAAGCAATATGATGTCTCTGTTGCATTAAAACAACCCATATACCATGTCCACTTGAATCACTTTCAATTATAAAGGTCTTGTTAGCATCAGGCAATGCCAAACCTGGAGCCTGAATCAATGCAGTCTTCAACTGTTCAAAGGCTTCTGAAGCAGCAAGTGACCATTTGAAATTATCTTTCTTGAGAAAGTCAGTTAGTGGCTTGCTAATGGTATCAAACCCTCTGATAAAACTCTTGTAGTAACTAGCTAGCCCAGAGAATCCTCTAAGTTGTTTAACATTAGTAGGCAAGGGCCACTCCTTCACAACTTCTACCTTTTGAGGATCTGTTGAAACCCCTTCAGCAGTAATAAAATGCCCAAATAGTCTATCTTTTGAACCCCAAAGAAACATTTGCTATGCTTAGCAAATAGTTGATGCTTCTTCGTTTCTCCAAAAACAGACTTCAAATGTAACAGATGGTCATCCATATTGCTGCTATATATTAGTAAGTCATCCTTCCTAAGGAACTTCTGGAAAACTGAGTTAATTAATCCTTGAAAAGTTGTTGGGGCATTTGACAACCTAAAGGGCATTATTAAATACTCATAATGACCAGCATAAGTTCTAAAAACAGTCTTTGGTATATCCTCAACTGCCATCCTTAGTTGATGATAACCAGACCTTAAGTCTATCTTTGAGAAGATTTTAGATTCTCCTAGTTCATCCGGTAGATCTTCCACAATAGGAATAGGAAATTTGATTTTTAACTGTCTGCTTGTTCAAATCCCTATAATCGACACACAGCCTCCAAGTACCATCTTTCTTTCCAACCAAACTACATGTGCAACAAAAGGGCTGCTACTTGGCTGGATAATACCTTGATCTAGCATCTGTTTTACTAAGGTTTTAATAACATCCTTCTTGACTGAGGGATATTTATATGGTCTTTTTGTTTATAGGTTCAGTTCCAGCTTGAAGAATAATCCTATGATCAAACACTCCTCTAGATGGTGGCAATTGTGTAGGTTCTTTGAACAACTCCCTCAACTCAGAGCACACTTTCTCATTATCATCTTTGTGAGAATGACATTCAGGTTAGGAAGTCAATGTGCCGAATCAAGCACGTGCTTACTGAGAGAGCAATCGATGAACAAGATCCAAGGAGGTCTGCTGAGATGAAGAGGATGATAAATGCTCAATGATCTTCTTAAACTCTCTTGACATCAGTGGCGATGCAACCTTTTTAAACTTTTTTTTGTTAATAGGATAGCTTTTCGTTTCTGTTAGGCGTTAGCACAGGTGCAGGATGGTCACTAGTTTGCCATTCACTTATTGAATAGAGAAAGTTCTGATGTGGAACTGATGAACTATGTAACTAGGGTACAATGGACATGGCAATTCTGTTTTATAATTATTTGGAGTTCGGAAATAAACGCCTCATTTTGCTACTCACATCCCTTTCTATCTTTCTCTATGTGGGCGCGTAAATTCTTTTTAGCTAAGTTACTCGGACTTGGCAATTTGGGTGCCATATCCGTGTCGACACGACACTGACACGGGTAAGGGTGTGGGATCTGGGTCGGATCCGGTCAAACGAGATCGGGTGTGTTAACCAAACTTTTGGAATTTTTTTTGAGAATTGATTTCCCTAAGTAAAGATTTGAAGAGATGGAAAACGAAATACCTTCCATTACACTGCTATGTAGTAATTTATACTAGTCCTTTTGAAGCTTTTTGTCTTGATCAATCTTCTTGTTCATGCTGCAGATTTCTGAAATTAAGAGTTATAATATTTTTTTAGGGCAGAGAAGTTGAAGATGGGTGGTGGACTACTGGACTGAGCTTATTTGGAAGGCCCGGGTCTTGTTCTACTGGAAAAAAGCAGAAACATGGAAAAAATTTTGTTGGGGAAAAAGAAGAAGACAGTGATGCAGAGAATAAGGAAGAAGAAGACTTAGACCAGACAAAGAAAAAGACAGGAATGAAGAGAATAAGGAAAAAGAAGACTTTAGACTAATTAGGAATTGACTACTTTATTACTAGTTGATATGTATATGTTTGCTAATATTCTGCCGAGATAGACATTACATATAATATGTCTTCAATAGTTTTTTGTTTATAAAAATTACAGTTTTAATTGTACCAAAAATAGTTATAGTTTTAATCAAAATAATAAATAATTATTTAATTGTAAACTAAATATAATTGTATATGCTTTAAAGACACATATTTTTATCTGAGTAAACTTCATATATATTAAATAAGTATATGCTCTAAATAAATAAATTTTATTAATTTACCTAATTATACTATTTATAAATATTTTCTTTCTCAAAGAAACGGGGGATAATTTCTAAATTAATTATTAGCATGTAAATTTTTTGACAAATTACGTTCTCGCGAAGATCATGAAAATTTATAAATTGTACATAATAGAATTGACCCTTTAGTTCTCCACTATATGCTATGTTGTGACACATATTTTAAGACTAATTATAAATTACATGATTTG